CCCAGAGAGGAGGTGGAGGGGATTGAGGGGCAGAGAATGAACAGGTCGGAGCAGAGACGAGGCTGGGAAGCACCACCTTGCCCCTCTTGTAGCCTGCTGGAGAGAGAGCTCTGGGAGCTAGCTGCTTGGGGCTGGCAGCTCTAAGGCTCCCGGGCCCTGCAGGGCACTTTGCTCATGGGCCTCTCCCTGCCGTTCCAGGTGTGTGCGGCTGCTGCGGCGCCCTTCGCCCCAGGTACAAGCGGCTGGTGGACAACATCTTCCCCGAAGACCCCGAGGTGGGTGTGTCTGGCTGACTCTGACCCTCCCCACTGGAGGCTCAAGGCCTGCTGGGTGGGGAAGGACGGCCGCTGGCCACGCTGCTGGGCCTCCACAGTTAGCTCTGGAGGTCACCTCAGGTGTGCTGTCAGCCACAGCTGTGGCATCCTGATGCGCTTCTCTGGAATGATCCTTCTCTGTGCTGCAGATCCACGTCTTGGTGGCATTTTCTGCTGTCACTCACCTCCCTGCATCTGGCTTTAAGTGCCTGGTCCCCCTGCCCTCCGCAGTCCCCTCTGGCATCTGTGGGCACCATCTGGGTGCCTGGCTGCTCGCTTCCAGCTGTGTTGCCAGGCTACATTCTCATGCTGGAATCTGGGCAACGTGACAGCGACAGAACTGAGGGCACTCAGGCAGGGACAGCTCAGGGGCCGGGGCTTGGAGGACTCTGGCGGCCTCGGGACAGTTCCCCAGGTCGCTGCAGAACCTCTTGCTATTGGATGACCAGCCTGGGTTTGGAGGCCAGGGATCAAAGTCAGGGTCCAAGCACATGCTTTCTCACTGAGCTTCAGGAATCTTCTACCTGTAGCACAGTACAAGGCAGGTTGCAACATCAGCACACTCAATGCTTCACCAAGCATAGCGACCACGGTCACTTTATTTACTTGTTGATTTTGGAGAGTGCGAGAGCAAGTGGAGTGGAACCATGCAGGGCGGGAGATTACACCCAGGCCTCTTGCATGCAAATATGTCTCTCAGGGCTATCTCCCGAGCCCCATGGGGACTTTTTTTACATTTTATGTATTGTTTGGCAATACTGGGGGTTTGAGCCCTACTTGCAAAGAGTGAGTTCTACCCCTAACTACATCCCCGGCCCCATCCAGGATAGTCAGTTCTGAGTCACCCTCAGTGAAGCCTGGCCATTGATTAGCGCATGCACACCGCAATGTATGAATGCAGCAAATACATATACGTGTATATATATGGATGGGTACCTTCATGGGTAAGCACACTCCATCTGTGTACCATAGAGACCCACAGGCCATGCATACTTGGGTACGCTGCATTTCGTCAGCTGTTGTTACTTCAAGCTAGCCTGCATAGGGCTGAGTTGTAAGTTCTTTTTGTTTTGTTTTGTCTTTTTTCTGTTTGGGGGCCATACCGGTCATTGCTCAGGGCTCACTCCTGGCTGGGGCGGGGTGGAGGGGCTTCTATACATTACCTGGGATCAAACCTGGGTCAACCACATGTAAGGCAAGCACCCAGCCCACTGTACTCTAGCTCCAGAACTTGGTTTTGACCATCTGTATCCCCAGAAACCCCTATTGTCAGGCCCACACCCGAGAGGTTCTATGCCAATCTTAGCCCCACTGAATTCCGACCCACCAGTAGACATGAGTGAGCCCCCACCAGCCAATCAGGCCCGTGAGCAATGTGGTCTGTGTATCACAGGATGGCCTGGTGAAGACCAACATGGAGAAACTGACCTTCTATGCCCTGTCAGCACCGGAGAAGCTGGATCGCATTGGCGCCTACCTGTCTGAGAGACTCATCCGGGACGTGGGGCGCCATCGATACGGGTGAGTGCACAGGCACGGTCAGGGGTGGGGGTGGGAGCGGGGGCGGGCAGAAAGACACGGAAGCAATATTATACTGGTGGAATGAGACAGTGTCCTTGCAGGAAAATGACATCAGACAGGATTGTCGAGCAGACTGGGCAAACAGGGCCTGCGGTTCAGGGAGCGCGTGTGGTTCCATCTGGACTTCCCATACTGGACACTGTGGTCAGTTTTTGGGAAGGGAGTGTTAGCTTCCTAGAACTGGGTCTTTTGGCCTTAACTGTGTTAAGGCTCGATTTCTTTATTTTTATTTTATTTTATTTTATTTTATTTTTGCTTTTTGGGTCACACCCAGCGATGCACAGGGGTTACTCCTGGCTCTGCACTCAGGAATCACTCCTGGCGGTGCTCAGGGGACCATATGGGATGCTGGGGATCGAACCCGGGCCGGCCGCGTGCAAGGCAAACACCCTACCCACTGTGCTATCGCTCCAGCCCCCAAGGCCTGGTTTCTTTAGCCAGAAGCCTTCACATATGTCTGAACTGTGAACAGTTAGTCCAGAATGTGCCACGCTTGCAGCCCAGCTCATGCACCCCACTGCCTGACACCACGGAGGAACCAGAGGAACTGAGAACTGAGAACTGAGGAACCAGTCCAAGAGAGAAGGCAGGACTGGGGAGTTGCCCGGGAGCCAAACAGTTGAGTGAAATATTTATTCGTCTGGGAGGGAAGGTCTTGCTATATTTAGAGGAGAGAAAAATAATAAAAAAAAGACTTATCAATTGATTTAACTGTTTAAAAATTTAAGTATTTTTGATGTCAAAAAAAGAACCCGTGAAATATTGAAGACAATAAAAAAAGAAGTATGGTTAAATATATATTATATGCATGTATAAAATATAATATATATATTATGAAGGAGTCAAACCCTTATGTTACTGGGGGTAGGGGGCAATTTGAAATACATGTCAAAGCTTCAAAAGTCCTCATCCTGGGTCCAGAGAGATTGTACAGCAGGTAGGGTTCTTGCCTTGCAAGCAGCCGACCTGAGCTTGACCCCACAACTGGTCCCCTGAGTCCGCCAGAAGTGATCCCTAAGCGCAAAGCCAGGAGTCGGCCCTAGGCACCCCTTGGTGTGGTCCAAAAACAGAAACAAAGACAAGAAAAAAACAACCAGAAACACTCATTCCCTTTGGCCTAGTAATTACATTTCTATCCTGCCATCCCAGGGAATCGATCTGAAATTTAATCTAGCTTTATATCCAGAGCTGTTTGTGATGGTGTTTCTTCAAATAATAACAGGACCATCTGGGTGTGCCCCGCATGAAAAAAACTCTCAAGTTTCAGAGAGGAGAGGTAACCCACAGGGCTTCAGCATGGGCTCTGCGTGCAGGAGACTGGGTTTGATCCCTGCCACCACATGGCTCCCCTGAGCACCAGCAGAAGCAATGCCCAAGTGCAGAGCCAGGAGTAGTCCCTGAGCACTGCCAGATGTGATTCAAAAAAACAAAGTAATAAAGGTAACATCAGTGTGGAAATATAATGTTTAATTAAAGGTTTAAGCCCTCTGTGAAATGGGATCTAGAGATAAAACCAGTGTTTATAAACATACTCTCCATATAACATGCCTCAGATCATTGAAACACAGAGTGTTTCACTGTATACATGGCCTAACGATTAGCTACAACATCTCACTTCTCAGTTGGGAATTTGATTTTTGCCACGGTTCTGGGCATCTGAAAGAAGGAAGCAGCCACCAGGGTAACTGGGCGTTGTCCCCCCAAGGTTAGTTTGGGAGGCTTGGCTATTTTTAGCAGGGAGAAGAAAAAAAAGCAAGAAAAATGAGACTGGTGTTTCGAAGTGATCGAAAGGGTTGTCAGGTATGAAACGCTCAGCCCTACACACACTTTTTTTTTTTTTTTGCTGCTCCTAAAAGCAGAATTGTGATGAAAGGACAGAACATGTGAGAACTGAGTTTGAAATATAATGAAGCTTTTATTTAGTTATCCGTGGGAAAGGTTGATGCAATTAGGCAGCCGTTCACCACAGGATGTTGTTTCCAAAGGTTTTCACTCAGTTTTAGGTCTGAGGAGAATTCTGCTGTTGAGAAATTGCAGTTGGCAGGGAGCGCCTTCTTAGTCAGGAGGGGGAAAAAGATCCAGCTATGCTCTCCTCCATGAGCTGTGCCCCAGGAAGACGGCGATACTCAGCCATGCTGCTGCACAGAGAACCCCTCCACAGAGAACTGAGCTCTCCAAGCAGAAGCTGACAAAGTCTGTTGTTTTGATTGGGGTGCAGGGCCCCTGGTGGCACTTGGGCTCTATGGTGCCCAGGGGCCACCAGAGCTCTGCCCAGTGGTGCTCAGGGGACTGTGTGATGTCCAGGATGCAACTGGGGCCATCCACCTGCCATGTTAAAGTCACCCACCGAGGCCCCTATACTACATCTTTATGTTATATTCTTGAGCCGATGGACTGCCTCTGAATTTCTCTCATATTCCATTTAAACTTCTTCCTAAAGTTTTTCTTCTTCCCCACCAGAGCCAATCATTGTCTTTTGGGATTCTCATGGGACACCAGTCATGACTTATGGCATTTCTTACTATCCCTTTAGTGGGGATCTCCTGTGTTTGTCATGTCTAAGGTACTCTGGGCTCTGTACCTCGAAGGGCTTCTGCCAATACCCCTGCACTGACAAGTTGGGAGCTTCGCCTGTGTGTGCCTTCGTGCTTGACTTAATCAAGGAGGGCTCCTGGTCACACTGCGTTTGGGCCAGAGTTGGTTCCTCTGGGCCTCAGCCCACTCCCTTGAGTCTGCTCCAAAAGTGGTGAGCCCCTTCCTCTGCGCTCCGATGGGCGGATGCGTTTGTTCCAGCCTCTCTTTCTGCTCTCCTTCTTTCTGGTTTCAGGCTGAGTGGAGCAGGCACTTGTGCGCAGCCTGTGTGAGAGCCTCTTGGTCCACTGCCCTCCCCACCAGAGTGGGGGGTGGGGTAGATGTGAGGACGAGTGAGTGACCACAGTTCTTGGCTTCTCCAGGTATGTGTGCATTGCCATGGAGGCGCTGGACCAGCTGCTCATGGCCTGCCACTGCCAGAGCATCAACCTCTTCGTGGAGAGCTTCCTCAAGATGGTAGCCAAGCTGCTGGAGTCAGAGAAGCCCAACCTGCAGATTCTGGGCACCAACTCGGTAAGAAATTTCGAGCCAAGGGCTGGAGAGAGTGGACTTCCGGTCCTGGGCCCAGGGCAGGGCTTCTGGTCTGCCTTGCAACTATGGTTCCTATTTTGATGTTCATTCCAAAACACAGCTCCCAACTAGCCTTAGTGACGCACTTGTTTCCAAGGGGGCACGATAAAATGGTGGTTTTGGTTATTAAAAATTTAAAGAAACATTAACTTCAGCATTACGAATATCACCCAGAGAAAAAAAAGCAGGAACAAACAGACTAGAAAAGGGATTGGCAATGAAACAACTTAAGTTGGGAAGGGTGTCCTCTAGCACGGACTGGAGAACAGCTTTAAAGAGGGGGAGTCAAGAGTGATTTTATGCCCAGCAGTAATAGAATGACATCACGACTCATACATAGTCTAGTAGTTTTAGTAGTTTTCAGGAAACTCATGCATATTCATAAGGGGGGAATGGCGAGCATGCAAAATTGAGTATCATACAAAAAATATGCATCACGGTACTGCAAATGTGGAGAAATGCCATCCGGATGTGTGTATAGTTTGGTGATGAAGAGCAAAGAGGACAGAGGTCAAAAAGGGCTCTGTTGCCAGTGGCCAGCACTGCCCGGCCAGGGGCCTGGGGTCCTTCTCAGTTCAAAGTGCTCTTAAGGCTCTGGTTGGCCCAGTCAGACCCAAGAAAATGAGCGGGCAGTTTCTGCTAGGGAGAGATGGTCACATCCCCAAACTAGATGCCTCAGGCTGGTCTGTTGAAGCTTTTCCTCACCCCAGAGAGTCCTCAGTTTTCAGAGAGAAAGAGAAGGGGTAAGATGCAGAAGGATCTAACAGATATAAAAACTCATGATGAACAAAATCATTTGAAAATGAAACTGCCCATTTTTAGAGCCTGTGAGTTAGTCGTTCTGGTGTATTCCCTGCAAACTCACCACTATATATATATCTATATAGCTACAGAAAGATTTAACAAGGAATTTCTCCCTTAAATTATTTCAATCATTTCCAGTAGAAGTAAACTAGATGGAAAGTCAAGCAGGTATTTAAGGGCGGGGGGTGCCCATGGCCCCCACAGCTCAGCCCCTGGCTCCACAGGGCATGCTGGGAAAGCTTGTCTGTGGAAGAGAAAATAAGTTGGTATCTGCAAGATAGGAGCACCAGATGTGTGGAAAGATCGGGGGCTGGTTCTTTCCTTCTCCAGCTGGTCACCACCCCTTTGCTTCGGTGCTACGAGTCACTCGTATTAATTCGGGCCCATCATGCCAGCCTGGCTGTCTGAGGAGGGTGTGGCTTTGCCAGAGGAGGCCATCGATGCTTTGGGAAGTCCAGCTCTAGTGAGCGAGGACCCACACCTGCCCTTCCTCCCCCACTTACGGCATCTCTCACGCAAGTCCCCATGGGCATCTCGTTTGCAGCTATCACATCAGGGAAGTTTCCCCCTGGCCTCCAGGTCCCGGCCTGACCCCATAGTTGCCAGGTATTGCCCATGTTCCCTGGAAATCAACCATAAGTCTCTCATGTTGAGTGTCAAGGACCCAGACAAACAACTCATTCCTCCTCTCCCGGCTCCCAGAGCCAGCTGTCTTTGACAGATTACCCGTACAGGAGCCAAGGGTGAAGTCTTTCGTCAGGTTGCCCCGGCAACGGCTTCAGCTCCCTTGCCTCTTGTCCTGGGTGAGAGAACCGGTGTCTAGAGCACGTTGGCACGGAAGAGAAGCCAGTCACCCTGCATCCCCGGGTGCCTCCTGGTGGGAGAGCCGGAAGCAGGGGCTGCCAACTCTGGACTGTCCCTGGCCAGGTGGGGGTCGGGGGTGGTGTTTTGCTGGACACAGCCTTCAACAGCCCCTTCCTGCCAATCCCCACGTTCTGCCGCGTTGGTGAATCATGCCTGGGCTGTGATGAGTAATCACACAACTGGGGAGTCACTGGCAGGCAAGATTATGTAAGGAAGGGCCGCTAGAGGCGAATTTAGCCAGACCAGCCTGTAGGGCCCTGGTACCTCGTGGACACAGACTTCTTGTGCCTCCCTCTCCCCCACGTGCTCCTTCCGGTTCCCCAAGCCCGGGACGTGCTCCAGCCTCCCCACTGATGAGCGAGGAGTGGTGTCCTTGGCTCAGCCCTGCTGCATTTGCCGTCACCTTAGGCGTCTGGTTTCACAGAAGGCTCTGAGGCTTGGTAGGGCCGGTGGGGTCCCGGAGCACTTCCTTCAGCGGCCAGACCCAGACCCGTTTTGACACTGCTCATGGAAACTTGCCACGTTTGCGTGCATGTCAGGTTGGCTGCCAGGATCTTGATAGACCAGGAAGAAGGGAAAGGCCAGTTAGCTCACCTGGCACCCTCGATTTGTTGGATTCCTCAGTCCAGAAAAGGAAAGCCAAAGAATTATCATCTGGGTTTGTGGGGCTGGCTTTGATGATGATCGTTCAGCCCCTCTGCCTGTGTCCCTGAGGACGCAGCGAGGCAGCCAGGCTAGGGGCTAGAAAGAGCACACGGGGGTGGGGTTCAAAAGCACTGGCCTTGCACATGGCCGACCCCAGATCAATTCCCGGAACCCCGTATGGTTCCCAAAGCCCTATCAGCAGTGACCCTCGAGAGCAGAGCCAGGAGTAAGCCCTGAGCACTGCTGGGTGTGCCCCAAAGAAGTAAAACAAAACCAAAACAGATCTCTTCCTGTGTAAGATTAAACAAAGAAACAAGAAAAGAATACATTCTCCAAGGTCACAAAAAATACTTTTAAGTCAAATCATTCCTGTGTGTGTGTGTGTGTGTGTGTGTGTGTGTGTGTGTGTGTGTGTGTGTTTCTGGCTGGCTGGGTGGCTTTGGGGTCACTTCCTGTGGCACTCCGGGACCAGGTGGGTTGGGGATCAAATCCATTTAGGTCATCTGACAGAAGTAACGATCATTCCTCTGTGTGTGTGTGTGTGTGTGTGTGTGTGTGTGTGTGTGTTTCTGGCTGGCTGGGTGGCTTTGGGGTCACTCCCTATGGCGCTCCCGGGACCAGGTGGCATTATGGATCAAATCCATTTAGGTCATCTGACAGAAGTAACAATCATTCCGTGTGTGTGTGTGTGTGTGTGTGTGTGTGTGTGTGTTTCTGGCTGGCTGGGTGGCTTTGGGGTCACTCCCTATGGCGCTCCCGGGACCAGGTGGCATTATGGATCAAATCCATTTAGGTCATCTGACAGAAGTAACAATCATTCCCGTGTGTGTGTGTGTGTGTGTGTGTGTGTGTGTGTGTTTCTGGCTGGGTGGGTGGCTTTGGGGTCACTCCCTGTGGCGCTCCGGGGACCAGGTGGCGTTGGGGATCAAATCCTTGGCTCTCACGCGCTCCAGCCCTTGCAGCTACCTCCCCAGCCCCCTGCTCTATATTTTAATATTTAGTTCAAATCCAAGTTCCTGTAATAGTTTCCAAATCGTCTCTCTCTGCTAACTTTCGAGACGGTGTTGGGCTCTGTGCCTGTGTGGGATGGAGGACTCTTGCCTGGCCCCACCCCTTCCTGCGTCATCTCCTGCCACTGGCCTGGCCTTGCTCTGTGCCCTGAAGTCTGCATTGCCTGCCTGCGCCTCAGGGGCCCCGCCCTGCTGGCCTGTCTGCAGCCTCTTCCCTAGACACGAAAGATTCCTGGGATGTTGGAAGACACTTTACAGGGTATCCTGGGAGCTTTCAGGAGCGCCAGCTCGGAGACACGTGCCTGTGTCCTCGGTGCATCTCAGGCGACAGGTGGCAGCCAGCCCTCCCCTCAGTGAGGGAGCCCTTTTGCCTTTGCAGTCAGAATGGCTGCAAACCCATCCTGTCACTGTCACTGTCACTGTCCTCCCATTGTACATCGATTTGTTCGAGAGGGCCCAGTAACATTGTGAGACTTGTTACTGTGTTTGGCATATGGAATAAGTCACGGGTAGCTTGCCAGGCTCTGCCATGCGGGCAAGATACTCTCGGTAGCTTGCCAGGCTCTCGGAGAGGGGCGGAGGAATCAAACTCGGGTCAGCCGTGTCATCCGCATGCAAGGCAAATGCCCTACCTGCTGTGCTATCGCTCCAGCCCCAAACCCATCTTATTTTTCCTATTTGTATTTGGGGAGGCGGGGGGGGGGGGGGATTGCAGGGGGCAGCAGGGAGGGTCAGGGCAGGGCTTATTGGTCTCTGAGTGTCCCCTAGATGCCTCCTAGAGCCGAGGTGGCAACGCAGCAGGGAAAGACCCAGCCGCAAGCCCAGCTTACAGGACAGCCAGGGGCCATGCAGGGGTGCTGGAAGATAGGGCTACTGCATGCCAGGCTGGGGGGTCACTGGAGCAGCTGGGGGTGGGGGTGTGTCAGGACCTTCTCTGGGCCCGATTTCAAAAACCGTCTTTATCTTTATATGACGTCCGTTTCTCCCATGATTAGTCTCCCATCACATCTTCCCCCGTCAGCCCTTCCCATTCAGTGATTTGTGGTCCCCCAAAGAGGTCAAGTGTCAGTCCCCAGCCTAACAGGTCAGCCAGACTAATGGAGGTAAGGGTCCTGAGACAGGGAATCCCATGCTCTCGGGGGGCCTCTAGAGTACTCGCAGGTGTCCTCTAGAACGTCCGGGGGCAGGTGAGACAGACAGGGCTGAGGACAGAAGCAGAAGCACAGAGAAGAGCTTGAAAAGGCTGCGGCACGGGTGGAATGATGGGACAGTGGGGAGGGCGCTTGCCTCACACACAGCATGCCCAGGTCCCATCCCGGGCACCACCCACGTTCCCCCGGAGCCCTTCCAGGAGTGATCCCTGAGCACAGAGTTAGGAATCAGCCCTGAGCTCCGCCAGGTGTGGTTCAAAAACAAACAGACCAAAGAAATAAAGGGAAGTTGGCCTTGGAGATGGAGTGGGGCAAGAGACGGGGGGCTGGAGACAGGAAGTCCTGTCTGGAGGGGATGTTACAAAAAATCCAAGAAGCCCTGCTCCCTGGAGCCTGGCCTTGCAGACAGCCAGTCCCCACACCTGTGAAGTCACGCTTCAGTCCCTGCATGGGATTCTCAGTCCCTGCA